GGCTTGAGTTTGTTTGCAGTTTTACAGACTTAGGCCTGCCTCCTTCTTTCTTCTTTTCCCTTCCTCCCTCACAGCCTCCCTCCCTCCCCATCAATACTTAAAAAATCATTCCCATTCATATTGTGTGTGCCCACACACTGGGAGAAATTACAAGCGCTCTGCTCCAGGTTGCCTTGACAACTTCAAGGCATCCCTGTGCGTGGGGACCGGTGGCACAGCAAAGTTTCCCAGGCCTCCTGGGGAAGGGGAGGGGAGAGGAAGAGAGGAGGCAGAGGTGCTGGAGCCAGCAGCAGCATGGAGGAGAGAGCAGCAAGCAGGATGAAAGGGGCACATACGTCTCCGGTGGGACAATGGGAGTTTTGCTGGCTGGCTGTGAAAGGACACACTGAGGATACAATGGTCTGTGACACATGAAAGCTTTGGAGCAAACTTTATTGCTTCTCCGTTAAGGACTCTTCCAGAGTCCCATTCAGCTCTAAGAAACCTTGTTGACATGTTAAAATGTAAAGAAAACAAACCCCATCGTTTTCTTATGTTCTAAAAACAATTTTTAGATATTATTTTTAGATAGTTCTTGTTGATATGCTGGCAGCTTTTGCAGTTTCGGCCCTGGATGGTATTGAATATCCCTCTTGTGAGTTCCCTGAGTTCCCATTAACTTCAGCAGGAGGGAAGGCTGCCCAGCAGCTCCTCAGTAAGGGCTCTATGAGGTGAGAACTTGCTTCCTCCTCATATATCTTCTGTTCGTACTTCGGCCTGTCTTCTCTCTACTTTGAATCCTTGCTTCTATGCATGCCACAAGTGGTTACAGCTCAAGAAGAGAGGAATTGCTGCTCCCCACTTTCAAGCTGAGAAGTCATTTATATGATAAGAAAGAGCAGGGATGAGACTGAGCAATGTAAAATGAGGAGCCGTGTAGTCACAGCCAGAGTGCATAACAGGAAACCAAGCTGGAAAGTAGCTTATAAAGAAAAAAGCATGACTCTTGCTCCCTGACATACCCCTTGCACATGGGTCACCACTCAATCCCAGAATCAGTCCAAAAAAGAAACAGGATCACAAGCTGTAATCCTTCAACACAGCAATCTTCACTGGTAAGATATGCCCTATACTGACTGCAAGTGACATTAAGAGTGCAGGAGACAGCCTCGTGTCAAGAGTGTGCTACAAAGAAAGATCAGGCGTGGTTAAAGCAGTAAGCATGTATGCCTGTGAACCCTCTGGAGCAACAGTGCTCAGCATCTGGTCTTGATTCTGTGACCTGGCAAGGGCAGGATACTGAGAGCTGCCTGATTTAACATCCCTTCGTTTCCAGACCTTCCTACCAAACTAGATGGGTTAACCCACTCATGCTCGGGAGTTAAACCAAGTTTAAAGCTGATCTTATCTAAAATGAAAAAATATACAGTCCATTGCTCCTACTTTAAAAATAGCAAGTAAGAACATAACACAGCAATTAAAGTACATAAAGTTGACTGGACTAGTGTTCAGCCATTCATTTTTCACTTTTTAAATTACACACTGTAATTAGTTAAAAGATTAGTTTAAAGCATCAGTTAAATACTCATGCTTTAAAAAAACTTCATAACAAACGCTTTCTGATATAAACATTGTGCAACTCAGTAGCAGATCTGAAATTCTCAAAAAATTACTAACTTTATTTTTTTTATATTTATGTTATTTATATTTGCATTATTTTGCATTTGCATTATTTTGAGGACTCTAAAAAAATAATTGATCCCCCATTCACCGACAAGAGGGCTATAGGACTAACTTCCTGTTTGTAAGGATAAGAAAACTATGTATTATTTGGTAGCATTTACCATTTTTCTCTCAGAATTTCAAAACATAAATGTAAACATACCGCAAGTATTATCATCCAGTTTTACCACTGAAAAAGCTGAGTAGAGAAATGAAGGATCAAGTGCTTCAAATGTTGGATTTCCATTTTCAGTTCCTTACCATGTTTTTAGCACTTGTTCTTCCACTAAAATGGCACATGTAATTCAAGCAATTCAGCACGAAAACCTAGTGATCTCCCCTTACAATTCATTTTTGGGGTCCAAATCTTACTGGCTTTAATGGCTTCTGCTGAAAGGACAGGCAAACACTAGCTGAAATGGAAGGGTAAGTATGAAGAACGTGATTGGTTTTATACTTTGAAGATTTAATCAGAGTCTGGAACAAAGCCTTGGTCTCAGTTACATCAGTGGCTAGGGCGCTTTCACTGTAATTCCAGTAGCATGTATTTCCTCCTTTAGAAGAACAATATATCTACAGGATTCGAGGAAACATTTAGTTTTGCCAGGTCATGATTCTGGTTTTGTATTTCCATATTATTTCTGTTCATGCAGTCCTGTTGCCTTATTTTAAACACTTTCTCCTCTGAGATAGGTACACAGAGCAGAAGGTGGTCAACTTTCATTGTATCTTTACGTTCAAATATGGCCTCTTGATAAATGTGTGGGCAGTGTGCAGAAGTCTGGATTCGACAGTGCCATATAGGGATCCATAGGAAGAGGTACTAAAGCAGAGAGGTCCTTTCCTCACCTCTTTCTTTATCCTGCACTTTGAATGCTTGATTCTAACAAGAAGCATCAGCACTGTTTTGAGATAGATGGTGTAGCCCTCCAGATGCAGTATGGGGTAGTTATGGACTAACTGAAATTTTAAGGAGAAGGATAAAAGGGGCATTTTAAGGAGAAGAACATGAACTGCACCTGCTTGGCAAAAGAAAGAGCATTTCCATTTCTGACAGTCCTCATGAGACACTGCTTCTCAGAGATTCAGAGCTCATTCCCTGGCAGAACTGCACCTTCATTTAAAAAACACGGTGCGACACTGCTGGTACAATCTGATGAACAAATGCTTTAGCAGATGCCACAGTGAGCACCCTAGTATTCACATTGTATCAGATGCATTAACACAAGCCAAGAATTAGGATTAATGTTGCAAGTTTTGCGAAGTTTATAAAAGACTCTAAATGCTTATTCATACAATAGTACGGATTTTCTAAAACAAGTTAATGACATTTAATCTGTTTTAAAATCCCATGGCTTGAGACAGAGGTAAACTGAGGTCATTCCATTAGGGATTGAAGAAAACTCTTCACACACGTTAATTGTTGCAAACATTACCAACATTACTTGAGAGTACTCTGTTTTCTTCCTTACTATCAGAAAGTAGGTGCAGCACATTTCTAAGGCACATTCTTCAGACTATGGTAACTATGGTAATCAAAACCCATAAACTGGCTCACTGGAATAGAAGGAGTGCCACACTGCATCAGACCAATAATCTTTGCTTTTCACGAAGTGTTAACAAAGCACAGAAAGCTGTAACTCTTGTAATAGAAAATTATGTAATAACAAGCATTAGGGGTGGGATGTGAAGACAGTGGCAGTATGAGCTGCAAAAGAGGGCCAACTTACCTTGAGTAGCTTTAAATGTACTGGTCATCAAAACTCTTGCCACAAAACCATTTTCATTGTGTTGAGTTTCTGCTCTTTACTCACAACTGTATGAGGTGAATGTCCTTGTGCTTAAATTTACTAGGAATTGCTGCCCTGGATAGTAAAGCATCAGGGAAGATGGGAGTCCGAGCAGTAGTCTACTACATGAGCACTACAATCATTGCTGTACTGATCGGTATAATCATTGTGGTCATCATCCACCCTGGGAAAGGTACTAAAGAAAACATGCACAGAGAAGGCAAAATTGTGCAAGTGACAGCAGCAGATGCCTTTCTTGATTTAATCAGGTATGGCTATGATATTGCGCATTTTCTGTACCAATAGTAACAACAGTAATATTTAGGTTCCTACAAGAACAAAAGCAGAGAATTTTAGCCAGTGACTGCATAGACTAGCCAAATTTCTTTAAACTTTGTGGTACGGTATCTCTAACCCCTGCTACACCACAAAAGAATACATGGATTTATTTTCAAATCAAGCTGTTGCAAGGGAAGAAACTGCTTCTTATATTCAGAGAAAGATTCTTTCTTTCACACAGAAAAGAAAGACTTCTGTTCTGCTATCTGCATGAGTCTTTTCCCCTCCTTCCATAGTACAATCCTTATTGCCAAATTCCTCTGCTGTCCTTTACTTCCAACTTTCAACAGTTTTCTCGCTTCACTTGAATCCTTGATTTAGCTATTCATCTTAATTTTGAATTGTAGCGGCCAATCTGGGTGCATCTACTCAACTTGTTAAATTGTATGGATGAGAAATAAATTCCAGGAAGAGGCAAGTAAAATGCTTGAAATAGAGGGGCACAGATATAAAATCTTGTTTTCTCCTTGCTCAGAGACTCTGCAATGCCTCTTTTATAGAGCTAATATGTCACAGATGTATTCCAGGGAGTAGGGAAGCTGAGGTTTTGAACTCGGGAGCTTTTCCACAGGTAAAGCCACCAAAATTTTGTGTTCCACTAACCCATTTGGAGAAGCCAGAGACATGGAGAAAGGCCTCCAAGAGTCATGCTGCCAGGAAGGGGGACTTCAGAAAGACCCATGAAGAGGTTTGCACTCAGATTCCTCAAGATTTATTCAGCTAGGCTGCTTCTAATTCCCTCAGAAATGTCACCATTCTGGAAAGCAAACAAACAAACCCCCCATATGTAACAAGTATACACATATAGATAATTACATATGTATGTGTTATTATTAAAAAATACTCAAACTTCAGAAATACTTATTTCTTAACCACGACAAGACTCTAAATCCAGTGATAAATGTCATGATATACTAGGCTACATGACTGCAAAAATTATCTGAGAATTAGAAATGCATTAGTAACATTTTTATTAATCCAGATTTGGAAAGCATTAATAAATGCAAAATCAAAAGTCAGCACTGACCCACAGAGCTTTGTTCATTTGGTAATTTTGCCAATATTCTGCTCCATAACCAGATCTATTATACAATATTTTTCACAGAGATTGCAATTGCAAGGATCTATCAAACCCTACCACATTTCGTCCCGATAAAGCTAACCAGGCCAATGCCATATGCAAAGCTCTACTCACTGTACACCTAAAGACATATTTGTCTTAGGATTCCTTTGAAAATTAACTGGTCAATTATTTTACTAGCTGTGCCCCTACTTAATATATTACTAGAGTCTTTTTACTTCTCATGTTATTTTCTTTGTTTTTCACAGGAATATGTTCCCTCCAAATCTGGTGGAAGCTTGCTTTAAACAGGTAAAACCATTTTGTTATTTCCAATGAAAACATAACAAAGTTAGAAATTGAAAGGTAATAGCATTTTCTTTAGGAATATCACGTAGTTGTACTTACAGTAGAAACAAATCCTATGTATGCTGCCAGCTGCCAAAAAAAACCCAAACCAACCAAATCTGTGCTTTGTTTTCAATCATATTGTCTCAGTATTTGCTATGCGAAGTGAATCATAAAATGATAGAATGGTTAGAGTTGGAAGGAACATTAAAGATCATCTAGTTCCAACTCCCCTGCCATGGGCAGGGAAACCCTCCACTACATCAGATTGCCCAAAGCCTCATCCAACCTGGCCTTGAACACCTCCAGGGATGGGGCATCCACAACTTCGCTGGGCAACCTGTTCCAGTGTTTCGCCATCCTCATTGTAAAAAATTTCTTCCTTCTATCTAATTGAAATCTACTCTTTCAGTTTAAAGCCATTGTCCCTTGTCTTATCACTACATGCCATTGTAAAAAGTCCCTCCCCAGCTTTCCTGTAGGCCTCCTTTAAGTACTGGAAGGCTGCAATAAGATCACCCCAGAGTCTTCTCTTCTCCAGGCTGAACAGCCCCAACTATCTCAGCCTGTCTTCATAGCAGAGGTGCTCCAGCCCTTGGATCATCTTCATGGCCCTCCTCTGGACTTGCTCCAGCAGCTCCATGTCCTTCTTGTGTTGGGGACTCCAGAGCTGAACACAGTATTCCAGGTGGGGTCTCACGAGAGCTGACTAGAGGGGCAGAATCACTTCCCTCGACCTGCTGGCCACGCTTCTTTAGATGAAGCCCAGAATACGGTTGGCTTTCTGGGCTGCCAGTGCACATTGCTGACTCATGTTGAGCTTCTCATCCACCAGCACTCCCAAATCCTTTTCCTCAGGGCTGCTCTCAATCCATCCTCCACCAGCCTGTACTTGTGAACTTGCTCCGACCCGCGTGCAGGACCTTGCACTTGGCCTTGTTGAACTTCATGAGGTTCTCACAGGCCCACCTCTCCAGCCTGTTAAGGTCTCTCTGGATGGTATCCCTTCCCTCCAGGGCATCAACCACACCACACAGCTTGGTGTCTTCAGCAAACTTGCTGACAGTTGCTGACACTTTTCTTTGAGAAGAAAACACAACTGGCACAGCAAATAAAAAAATAAGTTTTTTTCAAATGTCAAATTTTTAAGTCTATAGCAAACGTCATTATAGTCAATACAGAATTTACTTTTCAAAAACGATGTTATGTTAAATTGGAAAATACTGAGATATGCACCATCTGTACAAAGACTGAAAGATGTTCAAGAATGTCATGTGAGAAATTTGCATATGTTTAAAACAGAGGCAGCAATTTTGTGAACACCAATAACAAATCAAACCAGGAGACTTTCTATCACCTATGACAGGAATGCATAGGAATGCTCTTTCTATCTTTCTTCCCAAACTCCTCTATCATTAGCCTGGTCTTAATCTTAACTGTTCTCAGGAGAAAATAATAGTAAATACTTGCATTGCTTTTTTAAAAGGAGAACGTTATAGATGCAGTGAAACCTGTAACATGTATTTCCATAACCTAATTGCTTCATATTGACCACACAGACAATCTTGAACTGAAATTATTTACCAGTTATTGCTGTAGTAATAAAAAGATGTTGAAACGTGGAGGTCAAGAAGCAAGAGAACAAAGTAGAAATTTTCCAAAGTCCAGCTGAGTTACATCTTGCAGAAGAACTGAAAAGAAACAGTAACATTTTCTTTAGTTATATAAACAGAGACCAATAAAAAGCAGTGGCTTTCTAGATTAAAGATTTAGTGAAGATTAAAGATAAATTAGACCCAGGTCCAAAAGCAACAAACGCTATGCCTCTGTTTTCAATAAGGATGGTAATGAACTCAGGACAGCAATGCAGAAGAGCAGTATGGAAATACAAAAGTCTGTATCTAAACTAGAAAAAAAATTCAAAGAATTTAATGTAATAAAATCAGGGAATTATATCATCTTTATCTCAAAATAGTGGAAGAATTAGGACATAAAGTTACCGATCTAGCAGGAAGTATTTTTAATAAATCTCTCAATTTGGGAAGTTATTATCTATAACTGGTGAAAGCAATCTCTTTCAAATTTCAATTTCAAAAAGATTTGGGAATTTATTTAAGCAGTTAATGACCCATTAGGTAATCTCAGTCGTATCGAAGGATATGAGTACCTTGAAGGAAAGAGTAAAGACTTTGTAATAAATGAGAATGAAAAATACATTTTTTTAAAAAAAGATAAAGAATAACACAGGTTTCTGAAACATAGGTTGTACCAGAATAATCTTCCATCTTTCTTCCATAAGATTGATCATTTTTTTATTTCTGGTTTGTTTTTTTTTTTTCTGGTGCCACAGAAGCACACAGGATCTAATCTCTTCAGACTTCTATAAAACAAAGTTTTTAATACGAGGGAGGTGAAATAGTTGTGCAGGGGATAAACTGTCATGGCTCAAATATAAGATTATTGTAAAAATTGTAAAATTTGTGGAGATAGCAATGGAAGTTGCTGAAGGACAGGCGTATCTCAATTGATTTTTTTATGATTGACATTGCCATGAGATATACACAATGAAACTTACAGATGACAAAAAAGTCCAAGCACTTTGTATCGCTATACATGACAACTGCCAAAGAAGGTGGAATGTCCCTGGCACACTGCAATACTATAAAGTCACAACAACAAAGTGAATTGCCTCTTGCAGACATTGGCATGTTTGGTTATCTCCTTATAGCTCTTCATCACATGTGAAATAAAAGTTTAGAAACTAACAGTAGTTTCTGCTTTGAGATGGGAAATGATCATCAGAAAGAGAAAACAAAACCCCTCTAATTCAGCCCTAGGATATATTAGGTGACATAATTCCAAGAGAGGAAATAAAGCCAGAGGAATGGAACTGCCTGGAATACTAAGCATATTCTGGTCATTACATTCGTGGAAAGATTCATGCAAATTGAGCACAATGGAGAGAGGGGTTGCTAGGATTATCGAAACAACACAGCGTATAAAGCAAAAAGAAGCTTGATTCAAAAACTGTTCAGGTACAAAAAACCCAAGTAGGAACAGAGCTGTATAAGATAAAGAAAAATGTTTATACAAGAAGAAATAGAAATCACTGTGACTGAATTTAAGGTGGGAATTAGTACGGCTTTTAACCTTCACTACCTAAAATGTGAGGTCCTGGAAAAATCTTCAATTAGAAACTGTGGGAACAAATCACCTCATCAGTTTTAAGACACAGCTTGAACAATTCTTTCAATAAAGTATCCTACACCAACAGAAAACTTGACTCAGTGACTAGCAGTCCTAAATCTATGTTCTTAATTAAAGATGTCCTGTAGATTCAGTTTACATTAAGTATATTATGTTTCCCATGTGCTTTACAGCTTAAACAGATATCCAAAAAATGGTTCAAAACACAGGAAATGTTTCTTGAAGGATTTTTCTTACTTGCAGCAGCAGCTATGCTTACTGAAGCATCAAGATTTTCAATCTGTCACACTGATACTATTACCTTTTGAATCAGGTACCAAAACCTACCTTTTTAGGTACAAGTTTTTTTGCTGTAGCAGATTTGTTAAACTAAAAACATTTTACAGGAGAAACAAGTATGTGTAAGATTCATAGGTCTACAGATGACTTTATACATCTGACTCCATAACTTTCTTTTCAAAATTTTACATCAGGTTTTTCATATGTTTCACAGAAGATTTATGAAGAAGGATGATCCATCTGGCACTAAACTGGTTCTGTAACCCCGTGTTTGCTGGCCCAAATACAAAAGAGACTACTACTCATAGTCGTCCACACTCATAGGTGTAATACTGATTCACAGCTTTGAACACCTGGAAACCATCACCGGCATATATACTCCAGATTCAGATCACATCTTTTGATATATCAAGTGCTCCCATTGTGTCTAATAGCATCCTTAGGCAGATTTCTTTCCTGACAGAGATCTGCATTGCAACCCACTGGAAGGTTTTTCTTTCTTTCTCACTGTGGCCAGCAGACAGGTCCTCTGATGACTGTGTTAGTACTCACAGTAAGTTTTGAACCTATTACTTTCCCCATCAATAGCAAGCACTTCCCAAAGCCGCTCCACTAACACAGAGGACCAGCTATCATTTCCAAAGCTTTTAACCTCGAAATATGAACTATTTCTCAAATTTTCTAAGATCAGGACATAGAAAATTGTACTTTTGTTCGCGTAATTATTCTTAGTGAAGTAAAGTTAGTTTTCTGGATGTAGCATTGCTCTCCTGCAAAATGAAATGGAGCTGTTTGCAGAGGGTAACCAAGGTAGGGAGGGCTTCTAGATGGAGCTGGGAAAACTTTTATAGGATTGCTGATGGGAGAAGAAGAGTCATGAAGGAAGATTGGGACCTTAAGACTTATTTAGGAAGGATCTTCCTAAATTCTCTTCTGCTTCTCATTCAGTCTTCTGGTCCTTTGTATTCTCTTCCCTGCCTTTCTTTCCCAGCAAGTCTATGAGGCAAACGAAGCTGCCTCCTCTTGCTTCTTCTTTCCCTCCTCTTCCTCCTTTGCACATTTTCTTCCCCAGAAACAGGAAGAGCAGTAGAGGAAAATGCCCCTTCCCTTCCAAAAGAGAACCCCCCATTGTGGATTCCAGAAACCAGAAGGAGTTGCTGTAGGAGAGAAAGAGAGCCCATGGAAAAGCTAAGGAAATCCTTTTGTTCAAACCTTTCAGCTGAGAATCAGCAGAACCATTTTAGGCTTAGCTGGTGACATTCAGCTCCATGTCCCAAGACAGCCCACGGGGACAAAGAGCCACCCTTGCCTAGCAGGTCAAGTTAAGAAGAATAACCTGGAAAATGTTGGGCTTTAGCTTCACTCTGTTCTCTCTTTCTCTGTGAAAGACCAAAGTCCTGTTGGCACACTGTCTCTGTAAGGACCTCCTCCAAATAAATCAGAGATCGAGAGAAATAACTGAAAATAGCAGATTGTTAATCCAAACATCATGCTTTCTGATGCTGGCTATCTCTGTACGACATGTGTTGCTACCTTCGCTGTGCACTGATCATTTGGGGGCTTTTGTGATTTTTGTCTGTCACAGGAGAATCTGAAAAGTCTGACTGCACATAAATGTTCCACACTTACCTAAAACTAGATTACTTTGTTCAAAATTCTCTCTATACCACTATATTCACCTCCAGTTTAGGGGTACCTGAAAAAATGTTTGAGTTTATCTTTCAGCTCTGGCCATTATCTCTTCATTTCTCTTTCTTTGCTAAATTAAAAAATTCTATTTAGCCTGGACAAAGCAGTCTGCTTGTTAAGCAGATACTGCTTTTTAACTGCTTGTTCTTTGTGTTATGCTCTGCGGATATATCAAAAGATAAGAGAGACACAAGTGAACTTGGGACATCAAGAGAAACAGAATCAATCCATTTGGGGAGGGTCATTCTGTTGTGTCTAGGTGGAATGTGATGCTCTTAGAACTTCAAAGGTGTATCCAATAATTGCATTTCTTCTGAGGTATTTTAAATTAAATATCTTTTCATGAACTTATACTTGTCAAGGGGATTGGAAGTGTTAATCACATACCCAGACATGAATATGCTGTCTATTCCTCATTATGATTTTGGCCAGTTAAGATATATTTTAATCTGTGTGATCAGCTCTTCTGCAGGCAATTTAGAATGCTTTCACACATGTCCATATGGCTAGGAAATAAAAAATTAATTGCAAAGATGGGATATCACTGTCTTATTTTCATTTCTCTTCATTTTTTAGGTCTGCATTTAAGCAAAGTTGTTGCTTTTAAAATCATCATTTGCTAAAACTACATCATCATACAGACTTAGCACAGATAGTAGTAATTATACTATCTCAAAGAACCGACAGTAAATTATGAGTTTTCAGAGCAGCCACCTATGCAACTACCTTGTCTGCAAGTTTATCACTGGAGTATGCTATTGCCATGTTGTAACATGGCTTCTTAAAAAGTCATGCAATATATTCAAGTCAAATGACTGTGGGTATCTTGTACTACTAGTGGAAACAAAATAATAATAAAAGTGTAAACAACTAATTCATTATCTTATGCAATAAAGTCATTATATTGTCTATTTCATAATGAGATAACTTGATTAAAACTCATTTTAAAGTTGTTCATTAGCACCATGTCTTGTAAAAGAGTTCAGAAATGCCATTATTTTCATATTTTACTTGCAGATAAGGTTGTTCATAGAAAGCTATTAGTACTAATATGTTCCAAATAATATTGTCTTGCTCTTAATTTGTTACCTACACATGAACTTCAGGAAAACATAGGAATATTTTGCATCTAAAATCTTACCAGGCAAATATACCTCTGCCTGGAGACAAAATGCACCGAACATCCTCAGAAATTACAGGACTTCAGTGATGTTGTCTAGCCCATCACAGATTATCAGTGTAGGTGTGTGAACTTCTAGTAAAACATAACCAGCTCTTCTGAGACCCTTAAGCCTGCTATCTGTTACATAAACAGTTTTCCCTTGTCTAAATTCTTCCACAACTGAATGTTGAAAAAAATGAGGATCTTTAGAATCACAGTGTGATATTAAAATGTCCGTTTGAGCTACATGAATAGCTGATAACTCTGATTCCCACTAAGACAGAAATCTGTTTAAAAGTAGGAATCTCATAAAAGCTTACAAAATGATCTCTTATCACCAGTTTCAGTGCAGAACAGTAATAGCCAACTCTTCTGTTACCTCATCTACTTCAAATCCTTTGACGTTTTCCATCATCTTGAAGGTGGTCTTTCATCCTGTCATTTCCTATGAACAGTTGGCTTTTTCACCATTCTACACACAGAAAACTTGTTTTGTGGTGGTCAAGCAATATCGTATTTTATCTTCAGTGTCTTAAAAAGCACTAAGAATAAAGCTTGTTACACTTTTTCCTTAGTAGGCATATCCTTTGCATTTCCCCTATTTAGTTTTCCTTAACTTCTTTTGCTCCATCAGGAACCTCTTCATTACTTTTGAAAGACAACTTTGGGTATAAGAAGACAGGCACATCCATAGAGTTGTCCTTAACTTCATTTAGCAATAATGAAAGAAAGGCTAGCTCAAGGGACTGTCCCAGAGCAAATAAAGTTGCTCAAACTCCTGTTTTGAATCTAACTTCAAATAAACTATTTCTCCACTGCTCTGGAAGGGATTCTCAAAAGCCTATTCTCCCTAGTAACGTTTCTGAATACTTAAGTCTGACCAACAGGGTCAGTCAACAGATAAGATCATATGTCTGTGCACCAGTTTAGTAGCTGAAAGGGAATGGACTTTATTAAGTGAGGTCCTAAAATTTATATTATATCCATAAAGAGACTAAACTAACACAGAATTAAAGGCATCTTCCTGTGAGGACAGAATTCCAGAACCAGCACAAAAAGAAGCAATATGCTTATTACATCCTAAAATGATTTCTAACTGGCGTTTTTGAAGACAAAAAGCTTCAAGTGATTGTGCTTTCTCCCCTGTACCTGCCCAGGTTCTTCTCAGTTCCTTGTCATAATTTTTGAGCTCAACCAGTTCCAACCTAATTTGACATAAAGGGAGTAATTCTCAGACAAATCAAGCCTGTGCCACTGAAAGAAAACTGGTTTACGACTTTGCGGGTGGCCTGTTCCAAGAGGCAGCAGCCAATCAGCCAAGCAGCAGACATCTATCACTGTCTAACAGCCATATCGTGTGTTGCTTTTGACCTAGTCAAATAGGTTGGAATGAGAAAAGGACCTGAGGGTAATGGAGGAGAATCAAGACAAAGTCAGTTACGACGTGTCTAGGAAAAGTAGGAAATGAATAGGAAATCTGGTAGGAAATTGGGCTTTAATTCCAGTACTTATCAAGCAGCTTGCTTTTTTGTGTTTGTCTAATCTATATGCCCACAAGTCCAGCATAATTACACCCTTCAGATATTTGCATTACCAGATTTTTATCTAAGATTTTTTTCTACTGAAAAACAGTAACATAAATATACATATAATACAATTACCATACCTGTACACATTTGAAAAGTAAAAAAAAACCCACACCAAACAAAACAAAACAAAAAAGGAGAATTAGAAATGTTTGATGTACAGTGTTAGGCAGTACTTTAACATTCCTGTCAGGACTGAATTAAAAACCCTTTAGTGAGAACTTCTAGAAAATTTCTATTTCCACTCTGATGCCACTCTGTCACTTAAAGAGGTAATCCCATCCCTCCTTCCCTGGCTGTGTAGTTCCAGTCTCCATGTTTTGCCCTCTCTGGCATTCATCAGTCACTGAGCTTATTTACCTCCATAGCCTTTATCCAAAAATGGCTACTTTTTGTCCCAGTAATTTTTCTGCCAATCTAAAAAGTAGAATTGGATCACTGAGAGATCAAACTAGTACTGACACGGAGGAGAAATTATCACAGGTTGGATGTGAGTGGGTGAGGGAGTGGAACTGGGCTTTTCCGTGTCAGCCAACTGTTCGAACAGCTCAGCTGTCTCCTCTAACTACAGTCCAAATCTTAAAATGTTTTAGCAAATTTAATTTAAAACTCAAGAATATGTGACCGCCATGGAGATTTATTCTGCTGCATCTTATTCAGAAACTTTCCATAAGTCTCCTGTAAGCAATTTTAATTTGAAATTCTGAAAGATTTAAAGTCTTCAGGACGATACAGCAAGTATGTAGGAGTGCATCAAAACTATTCAGGTGTGGAAAATAACAGAAAATTAGCTCATTGTTGAGAGATGCTGGTATTCAAGTTTCCCATCTGAGTCATAAGTACTCACTCAAATACTTCTGGAGTGCGCAACAGTCTCCGGATATTACTAATAAAAGAGCTCCTGGACTTAATATTTGTCTTTTGTTGGCAGGCCCAAAGGAATAAACATCTAAAGTTACTCAATAACCTTGACACTAGCATCCCATTGCTTTAATAGGGTATTTAGCAACCTGAGATATATCAGAAACATTTTGCTAGTAATATTTAGCATTCTTTGTGTTCAACAGAATTTAATCAGGACAGGGCTGAAGTGTTTTTTGAGCCCAGACAGAAATATTTAGGATGCACATTTCTCTTTGGAAAAGCATTACGTGCTGAAAGGCTGGTTTTTGAAGCAGACGTTTAGGACCATATTAAGATTTTGAAATTGATTTGCCAATTCCATAATGAAATCATATCTTATTTAAGAAAAGTGTTGGTTTGTTACTGCAAAGCATAGAAAACTAAGGGCTTTGTAATAGCAAAGGAAAAAGCAGGTGTGTCATATTTAAGTTACTTTCAGTTTGATTTTTTATAATTCAAGAAGATGAAAAAGCAAGGAAACTCCAGAGCACATGATAATATTTTCACTAGCCAAAAAAAAACAACCCTATTTATTTAACAGTTGGAAATACATTGTAGGGAAGTATAAAAATTCAAACTAAGAGTCAATGGTTTTGTTACAAAACTCATGAGCATGACAAATCCGTGTCTTTCATTTTGACATATTTATGAGAAAATTAATTCTGGAAGCTGAAGGTGAAGATTTAGCTTCAGCTTGAAGTGAATATGGAATTTTGTTTCTTTCAGGAAGCCAGGTTTTCATCAGAGTACATTTTACCAAGAAATATCACACAAAGAATTCAAATGTCCTACAATAATAATTGATAATCTAAAGTGTGATTTTTACCTTTGTTTGCTATAATTCACAGCATTCTTATCTTTCTTTTATTCTTGTGTTAACAGTTCAAAACTAACTACGAAAAGAGAATGTTTAAAGTAGTTATTCCATCCAATGACACATCCACAGTGGCTTCAATAATAAGCAATGTGTCAGAAGCAATGGAAACCCTCAGCCGAATGAGAGAGGAAATAGTTCCTGTCCCAGGTTCTGTAAACGGAGTGAATGCCCTTGGCTTGGTGGTTTTCTCAATAAGCTTTGGCCTGGTGATTGGAAGCATGAAGGAGCAAGGTCAGGCATTAAAAGACTTCTTCGATAGCCTTAACGAGGCTATCATGAGATTGGTAGCTCTAATCATGTGGTAAGTGCCTCTTTGATAAATTCCTTTATGAGTTGCTAACATTTTTTCATCACAGTCAGGCACTGGATAGCAAGAGACTGTTTGGCAGGAGGTCAGACAGTAAGATCTTAAATGTCTTGTAGCTTTTTTCATAAATGAACTCAAGAACAGTGATTCTCTATGTCAATGATCTGCCCAAACGTACCTACTCTTTCAGTGTGTTTAGCTTTTGACATGAGAAAAATCAGGGTCTATGACAGAACTTGCTAAGCTTGTACAGAGCCATTCTGTGTCTTCATAAAAACAGCAATCACAACAGTACGTTATCAGTTTCCTTATATCCTAATCTAACTTCACTCAAGGAAACCGACGAACCTCTCCCATAATCTTATTTCTACACAGCAAGACTTTGTTATCACCAGTTTCCAACACAACTGGTTCCTGCAGTTGTGTAGTGTATATGTCCTTGCTTTGTAGCTGCACTGCTTACACATAGACGCAATTTTCCTAGTTTCTTTATTGTATTCAATAGGTAAATAAAACCAATATCTTTTCCCTCAAACATTAGATATGAAGCCTTTTCAACAATGGAGATTTGTTATTTGTCAGGTAGATGGTTAATTATGAGAATAAATTATGTCTTGTTGCCTTCTTTACTATAGAAAACAAACAAATAAACATAAACAAACAAATCAACTCCAAAAACCTACCCAAGAGCACATATGCATATGTTGCAGTACTAGATACAAAACTGAAAATAAGTGTATTTTTTCCAGAAATTAAATTCTATTCTGCCAGGAAACATCTATACAAAGCAAAAATCTTTTCTCCTCCTTTACAAGCACACTTCACATGATAAAAAGTGGATAAGAATTATTACTTCTGATAAATTTCTACATGTATTTGATGGCTTAAAGTGCAATTGAGATATGCTGGATAAATTTTGTTCTATGGTAACTTAGTGTAAAAAGACAAGTGGACATTCACAGAAATAAGGCTGTACTAAAAGTCAAGCTGCAGCAGAAGCATGTTAAAGAGTTTTATGCTCAGCACTAGCTTCTTCTTCATCTGTAGCTGTGCTTGCCAATATGAAAAAGGAGATAATTCCACATTTGTTGCTGCCCCATAGTGCAGCTAACCTCTATCATGCAGAAGGCTTCATGCTAAAGTATTTATCCAGTGCTCCACTGGATAAAATGGGGCATGGCCAAAAGCAGCTTGAAACCATCAGGAGTTACCAGCATTCTGTGTGAGTTCCTTCCCCAACAACATGGGAAACAACACTGGCAAGATAATAGAACTGGGAACGTGGCATAGTCTATAACTACATCCGTTAAGCCTTCATTCATACAGACAGAATTACAACAGAATGGGCTAAATTAGCTTTAAATGACACTCAAATTCCAAAGGGAGCTCATCTCCCTACATGTCTGAAACGCATGCTATACATCTTGAAATCCTTACTAGATCCTGAATCCAATGGAGCCTATTGGAAACACTCACTGCTGCGGTTTAATCCAGGTTGAACTGTTAAGAGTTAAAGAGTTAAACTCTGTGACTGCTTCTGAATCATTGCAATCATCCTAACAGCGAAATCCTACATTCATGCATGCATATAAACACAAAAGGTATGGATGGGGAAGTGAATTTCTACTTTGTTCAATACAATACTCATTTCATTTCTTATTTGCAGGTATGCTCCACTTGGAATCCTCTTCTTGATTGCTGGAAAAATTGTTGAGATGGAAGATATGGGAGTGATCGGTGGTCAGCTTGCCATGTATACTGTAACAGTTATCATCGGTTTGCTAATTCATGCTGTCATTGTCCTACCTCTTCTCTACTTCCTGATCACTCGTAAGAACCCTTGGGTATTTATTGCAGGCTTAATCCAGGCATTAGTCACAGCTTTGGGAACGTCTTCCAGGTATAATACAATATTTTAAGGTCATATTGTTTTTATAACATTACTGGTTTGAGAATCAGTTTTCCCTAATGTAATTGGTTAACTGTATTTAAGTAGACACTTGGGCACTTTATTTCAGTTCCACTGCTCTCCTATAGAGGTAATTGCTATCATTAAATTGACTTGAACTCTATTTTCTGTAAGAACCCCTGAACAGAGAAGAAATTAGTCTGTTTGGTGATGCAGACTGTATGGCCAGAACTCTTGTGACTTCGGTTAGACTTGGTGTTTGGTATTAAGTAGTTTGTAACAGCTTGCTGGTAAAGGATGCAGATGGCAAAGGATGTGTATGGCAAAACGGACCAGCAAACAGGAAAGTTCGGAGGGGACTCTGAGCCAACTTGAGAGCCTTTTTTGGGCTCTGACGCTCTGTGCTCAAAATACTGACAGCCAATGATGGATATATAACCTGCAACAGAAATGCCACTTTTGCTCTTTGTTGATGAAGTCATAGGTATGTTATATGAAGAAAAAAACTCTGTCTGCATTTGTGATGAAAGGAAACATTATTGTAATTAAATATACATTTCTATACCATATGACCTTTCATAAAACACCTTTCATTTTAATTGATTTTAGAAGTGTCTCCTAAAGACAGATGTTTTAAGTCAGACATTCTGTATTACCAAATTTAAGTCCCTAGTGTTTGGGATTATTTTGAAGACCTGGATGAAAAGCTATCATGACCATTAATGGAGAAGCTGATTAAGTTTTGTATTACTAAAAAAGCTCTTGAGGACTTAAAATAATTATGACAGTATACTATTGAGTAAAGAGAGACACAATTACTAATCTCACATTTGACATTTTTATGTGAATCATTGTAAATTTGTGGAATGCCTAAAAAGGAATTTGATTAATAATGATTTTTAAGAGAAGATAATAAAACTAATGCCAGTTATCATAGTTTAAGAGAAAATAAAACGACACTACAACTTTGGTGGGTAACAGTAACAGTGTTAAGGGGATATGTTTCAGCTTCTAGAAAACATTCCACTTGGTGCTGCTCAAGATTCTGAGTAAGAACCTAAATCGATGCAAGAGAGCATACTATACTGTGAGTGGACATGAAAGTTGTTTAAAAGTCTAATGTAAGTTGACTGTCATCAAAGAGATTTTCTAGCAGTCTTCCACAGCTCTTCTTTACTTTACATTCTATCAGGATTTTATTTTGTCAATATTGATAAAGTTTTCAAAGATATGAAAGTCTGTTAAGTATTTAGCAATGAAGAGGTCTCTGAGACAGAGTAACCTGAATTGCTGGGTCTTCAAAAATCTCTTTACTTTGGTGTGATGAGAGGTAGGAACACATCTTTAAGAATAAAGAGCCCAGGCAGCTCTTAGAAAATGGCCACCTTTTCCTTCCTTCTGAGGCAGTGTCTCTCAAAAGGAGCTGGGCATCATGTGGGCTGAATGGGTGCTCCTGTAGCAAATGAAGCCAGAATGTTCAATTGGGTTGTTTTTTTAAATGAAGTTATCATTTATATCATATTTGGGTGTAGCAGCAGGGGAACAAGTTTAAGCCGTGTACTGGGCCTGGCTGAGGCAGAGTTAATTTCCTTCATAGCGGCTTGTATGGTCCCATGTTTTAGATTTGTGACCAAAAAATCACTGACCACGTGCTGATGTTCTGGCTACTGCTGAACAGTATTTGCACAGCATTAGGTCCTTCTCTGTTTCTCACTCTGCCCCTGCAGTGAGTATATTGAGAGGTGCAGAATAGGTTAGGAAGGCACACAACGGGGCAGATGATCTGAACTAACCGAAGAGATATTCCATGTCATATAACATCATGCTCAGCAATAAAAAGGGAAAAGAGAGGATTCTGGGGAGGCTAGCCATCTTTTACTCGGAAACTGGCTGGGCTTTGGTCAGCCTGTGGGAAACGGTCAGTGATTGCCTTTACATCGCTTGCTATGTTTTGTTTTGTTTTCTCTCTCTTCTTCCACTTCACTTAAACTCTTTTTTTTTTTTACTCTCAACCCCTACATTTTCTTCCTTTTACTGTTCTTCTCCTCTTTGCCTGTCCCACTCAGATTGTGGGGCCAAGTAAGTGAGTGGCTGTGTGGTGCTTAACTGCCTGCTGGTGTTACCTCACAAGTGATAAAGTAGTGTAATCATCCATCAAAATGCCCTTTCCAGGGAAACCAGCAAATAAATAAGAGAAAATACGCTGTTTACTAAGGCTTGAATAGCTCAATTTGTATATCTTTAGAAAAGCAACGAGTAGAGAAGATTCAGTCATAACTCCGTGATATAAAAAAACGAGAAGTGAGAATTTTTAAATGGATTCTTCTGCCTAGCAGCTTCTGCCTAGCAGAAGAATCTCGTGACATATACAGAAGTTAAAAATATTCAGACTAGGGATTACAGAGAGAGTGACAGTAATTAAGCATTGGAAACACTTTTCAAGAGCATTAGGAGAACCTCCGTCATTAGAACCGTTTAAATTCAGCTTCGTATTTAAAAAAAAAAATATTCTGGCAGATCACATAAAAATTAAGACAGAACAATCTCTCTTGTCATAACAACTTGTGACACTCTCTTCATTCCCTCTTTTTAGAATTTATATAATATATTACCTTATTTTTTTTGTTTGTTTCAGTTCTGCAACACTACCTGTTACATTTAAGTGTCTAGAAGAAATAAATGGAGTGGACAAACGAGTTACAAGATTTGTACTCCCAGTTGGTGCTACAATTAATATGGACGGAACTGCTTTATACGAGGCTTTGGCTGCAATTTTCATTGCACAGGTTAACAACTTTGATCTGAACTTTGGGCAGATTATCACAATCAGGTACAGAAGCCTTTATTACCTACATCTAATAAAAGCACCTTTGTGATGACTCCTTCTAGCTGTTATATGTGGGATAAAAAAAAAAGCATCTAGAGCTAAAAAAAAAGAATGGCTACAGTAGCTGAATAACTGTAATGATTTACATGTTCTGCACAGAAGAAACCCACCAACACATATTCTCCATTAGGTGAACCTTTAAAAAACTGTAAGATGACACACCTATTACTGCGCTTAGCAGAGTCAAAAGAAGTTTTTAATGACTTTAAAATTTTCTTTCTTAAGAGCTCATGCAGCTGTTGGGACCTACACTTACAATCAGTAGCTGGTAGTTGATAATGTGTGTACAAAGCAGTAGCATAAAAGCATCACAGTGCTAATGCTAGGAGGGGTAGTGTTTTCCTAATCCTGATGGTGTCAGGATACAAGTAGAGCAAGGAGCAGTAATATTTTTATTACACCAGCTCATAGAGGTGAAGAAGATAAGTATGTTTTCAACATAAGAACAGAAGTTCTTAATATAAGTTCGTAACATAACATAAGACACAAGTCTTCACATTTGAAATACAACAGCAAACAATCCACTACGTAGCACTCAATGATAACTGATCTGCATTAAGTGAATTATGTTACTCAAACAGTTTAATGACTAGGAAATGTCAGCAAGGGGAGAGAGGGAGGCTGTAGGACAGAGACACACGTATTTATCAATCAATTCAGATATGGTGAACAGGGAATGTAGAAGATTTTCAAGCAGAAGTGTTTCTCCATAAAAACCACCAGCTTAATCCAATATTCATCAACAGAAGACAAAACTCTGCCTTCACACTCTGAGGCAATAGTTGTGCATTCATTAGAACTAGAGGTGCTACCTGACAAATCACCTGACAAAATTCTTCCTAAACTAGGTGTGAAAAAGCTTATTTCTATCAAGTTACTAAACTGTATGATTCAGGGTTTCTGGTGGCTTTCTGTTTTCTGATGGCAGAATGCCAACTACTTGACAGATACTTCAGCTAGCATGAAGTTATAGTGAGATGATAGAGAATAAAATTTCTTGCATTGGATCTGCCACGACAAAATTACCTACCTCCTCAGCTTTTCTTTAAAGATGTTTGAGTTTGTGGAGTGAGTTTGTTCAACGTGTAAGGGCGTCTGACTATAATATTTTTGTCTGGCCCTTGGCATCTAGTAGATGATTTACCACCTAATAAATTAATTGCTCTTCTCATCTCTTTGCACAGCATCACAGCTACAGCTGCCAGTATTGGGGCTGCAGGCATTCCTCAAGCTGGACTAGTCACCATGGTCATTGTGCTTACATCAGTAGGTTTGCCTACAGATGATATCACTCTTATCATTGCAGTGGACTGGTTCTTGTAAGTATTTTTATGGAGTCACTAAGGACTTAGCTCATATTTAGAAGTGTAATAGGCAGGGACATTCTGGCAATACTGCAATCAGTGGTGTACTTCTTTTGCTGTGGAAGGCAGTTGGAAAGAAGTGTTAAAAAGAATTACAATTTCTTGTGATTAACATATTTTCTTAGAGCAGATGGTGAGGGGTGTTACTTAATGATGGTTCCTCTTGCATGTAAAAAGGTTTCTTAGAGATCTGGATCCTTAGAGTACTAAGAAAACTTCTGGACACGCTGCAATTAAATTAGCAAAGAGTTGCTATAGTCTTTTATTTTTATGTGGGATGGCAGTGAAAACCTCTCCATCAATCAGGCTCAGAGTTGGTTCAGATTCAACCTAGTTCATTGCAGCCCCGCTGACTATCTAGTTTAGGGAAGGTTCATATGTCTACCCCATGGACACAGAAATGAATAACAGTTGTGTAACTCTCTTATCCAGCCACCACAATGCATTGACCCTCAGTTTTTCCATTCCTCTGCCTGTAGAAGACTACCTGACACCTGTAGGTATATGGGGAAATTCCTTAGGTTCAGGAACTAAATAAAAGGCAGAAGGTTTACTCGGACCTCTATTTCATCTAACCCCTGTTAGTTATAGTTTCCAGAGGCTTTTACCCTTCAGTCTTCTCAAGTGACCCCTGCAAGTCGCCCACGTTGTTATCAGAACATAATGTCTTCTAATGATAATCTAACCACATGCTCATAGCCTTATGTAGGTGGACTCTTATCGAGTAACAGTGCCAGTCACTCCTTGGCAAGCTGCCTCCTACACCTTCTGGGCAGAGCCTTCTAAAAGGGCTGAATTGTTGTAGCTTAATTTGAATTATTTCAGCAGAATTCCACCCTGAATTATTGACCATAGTTTATGGTCAGGAGGGAAATGACCCTAACAAGGTAGATTCTGATTGACTTATATGTTCAGAGGATATAAAGCTGAATGACCAGAGTACAGAAATGCCTTTGAGAAACATCTGCCATATGGGCCCTTTGTTTTCCTCATCACATAGCTGGTTCTTGCTGTGAAGTTGCTGAGTAATAACATATTTCATGACTCCAAATCGTAGTATATTTATTGATTTCTGTAGAACTAATAATGACATTAACAGTTCAAATAAATGAATATACATAAAATCACTGAATCATCTGGTAGCTATTTAAAGGCCATTTTAACAGCTAGCCTGCATGTTTCCCTGAGTGTGAAATCAAGGCTAACTTACTATTTCTCCTTAGGGATCGTCTCCGTACCACTACCAATGTCTTAGGGGACTCTATTGGAGCCGGGATTGTTGAACATTTGTCACGGCATGAGCTGAAGAACAGGGATGCCGAAATGGGTAATTCTGTGATAGAGGAGAACGAAATGAAGAAACCATATCAACTGATCTCACAAGAAAATGAGAGTGAGAAACCATTGGATAGCGAAACCAAGATGTAGGGTAAAGAAAGCATGACTCCTACACTACTAGTGTGGAAAACACACACTTTTTCCAGCAATTTGTATCTTGCATTCACCAAGTTCACTTATTCCTTGTTTTCTCCCTTCATGCTAGCACTGGAAAGAATTAATGAAAATATATTCCAAATTAGCAGTGATGGCAGTGTATGTTGGCTTCCCGCTTAAAAAAAAAAATTAACAAGCAACAACACTGGTCCTGCTAGATATGTGCTAACTGAGGATAAAAAAGAGAAATGGTAAATTAAATAAAAACAAAAATCAGTGTATATGTTACTCAGTCCTGCGAACCTATTCTTTTTTTTTTCATTTATGAACTGGAAAGTAAAAACAGATAACAGAGCCTGGAAATGGTTTTATTTTTTTAAATATCTACTGCAAAATTCCTAACATCTATAAACACACAATCAGTACTTCTAGCTTGATAATTGCATCCAGCTAAGTAAATTAACAGGATTTTTGCTTTTATATCTGATTTTTTTTTTCTCTACTGTTATATTGTTGTTAAATAATAGCAGGACAATAAAAAGAAGGATCTTAATTCAAAGGATAAAAAGGGGAAAGATACATAAATAAAGGAAAATAATACCCAAAATCAGCACTTTTATCAGCTGAGTTGAAATGTTTCTGAGAAAGTTATTTTATTTAAACATAACTTTTCAGATTAGCTTCAGCTGATCTTGACAAAACTTAGTCTAGTCAGCCTCTACCAACTTGCAAACATTTTCGTATGTATATCTATATGTCGTACCTCCAATCTGGATTTGCCCCTTAATTTCAACTTCACAACCCAGTTGAACAATCTATGTGTGTAAGTGTTTGTAGGAGCAAGGCCCTAGGCTGTATTGACACTAAGACAGGAAACATGCCTTCATCTCTGTTTGGAAAAAAAACATAACATGCCTTGGGTGTGCTAATTATTTCCTTAATAAGCAATAATAAGAATAGAAGGCAGTGCCAGCCTTTTGCAGAAGGTGCAGAAGGGTGAGATGCTCAGATCCTAAAGAGACTGGATTCTACATCTGAATCCCTGAGACCAACCGTAGGTTTTCTGATTGGAAGGCTCCCAAATGCTTGGTTGTCCCACTGACAAGTTATAGAGCTATTAGCAGGATTTACATTTTTCCATCTAGAGAAGAAGGCTCTCTATCTCAATGTGAAATTTCAAAATCCATGTGTGTTTATCTATAGCATCTCGAAAAGAAAAAATAACCCTTTAGAACGTAAAACTAATGGGTGCTTTTTCACTTTTTACAAGGAAAAATACATAAACTGCAAAACAGTGAATAGTACAATAAATGTTGGAATTTTAATTAGAAATTATTTTAAAGCGCAATATTGTAGGTTTCTTTCAGGGAATAGATAAGGAAAGAAGGAAAAAGGGGAGACAATGCACTTGTAATCCAGTGGCTTTTTTTGTTCGTTTCAAGATTATTCCCTGATGAAGCCCATTTCTAGAAATATAAATTATGTATTTTTTCCCTTTTGCCTTGTATTATTACAGAGTTAAACTGGAAAGTTTTATAATGCGGTTACATTTGGGGGAACGAAAAAATATTAATTGACAGGCACAACGGTGCTGAGTGATCTTTTTCATCAAAATGTTTGGTTGTTTTCCTTCTCTCACCCCCTACCAAAAAATTCTGATGACAGAAACGAAGGATTCCCTTGCAATGTCCCACTTGCCACTCAAAAAAACGTTCAATATGTTGCTTCTGTCACTAAAAGAACATAAATACAGTGTACGAGTAACTGCAGTGAAACCATCAGCATGCTGGTTGAAGGCAAACCTTTTCCCAGGCAAGCCTGTTCTTTTAAGGACTTAAAACTCCTGCCCATCTTCTTCAGCTGAGTAACCAAGACAATACGAGCAGGAACTCTTCAGTGAATGAAGTGAGCAGGGTTTAATACAGAGTATTGAGCAGTCAAACCAACAAACTCTAAATGAATCTCTGACTGCAAGAAAATAAACATGGGGGATTTTTTTGCTAACAGAATGCAAATCTAGAATATAGATAGGCATTTTCTGATATGTAATTAGAGATATTTTTATATAGATACTGTATTCAGAATGTGTGTATAAACATTAACTGTAGAATTTATGGCATAACAATTTAATTTTTGTTACGATTGTGTTTGGAAATGCATTGCAAAGACAATGTAAATGGCTGTCTTTCTATGACATGAGATGAGAAAAATGAATTGTGTCACAAAGAATGTGATCTTTTTTTATACTAACTTTGTTTCTTATGGAAATCAGGTACTATAGAAAGATTCCCTTCCCCATCCCTGACTGGTTCTGCATTGGTATGCACCCAGAGTGGATTGAGAAACATTACTTTGTAGATGTATTTTCAATAAAAAATAGTTTTACATTACCACTTTTTTGTGATTTAGAATTTCTTTCAAAGGCTCTGTAATAGAAGCTTTGGACAAACTGATAATACGGGATCTCAGGAATTCCAGGCCATTTTATACAGCAGGGCTTTGATACAGCAGAGCTTCCTCACTTCAAATACCTGCTTACAGTTTCGTGATCAAAAAGAAATAAGTAAAGGTGGGGAAGGAAGAACATTAAAAATTAAAAGAACTAATGTTCATCCTACTTCATTCAAATTCAAGTAAATAAATTCATATTGATACCTGCAAAATACTAGTAAGTATTTACATTTTCATTGATTCGGTTACTGCAAAGCTGCCAGACCATTTTGGGTGTACAGTTAGATGGTTTGAAACACCTATTGACTGGAATATTATAGCGTTGTAACATTACAGTCATTCTAGACAATCCACTGTTTTTCTCACAGAAGTGGTTTGTGATGGTGCTAAGGTTCATTCAGTAACGACTTCAGCTGGCAGTTATCATCTAATGGAAGTGAATGTCTTGTCAGAAGGACTGGGAATGTATAAAAGACATGACCTGAACCACTTGCATCTTGAAAGCTGTGCTGGTTCGAGCAGATGGAGTCAGCAGGGAAAAGTCCTACCTTCCTGAACATACACCAACAAACCACTGGACAATGACCTCTGTGAATTTGTCTGTGGTATTTTGAGTGAATTTTTTCACTCAATTTTTACTCAATTGTTTTTTCTAATTATCTATACAGTCACTCACTCAATCCAGGTAAGTATCTTTTTGTTTCTGGAATTATCGTCATGATGGGAAGAGCTAAATAAAGAGGGTTAGTGTAACACTTGCAGATTATTACTGGCACAGTGGCCTTGCCTACTCTTCTGTGCCCCCATGCAGAACAAAGATCTCTGGTAGTCCATAATTTTTCACCAGTGGTTTCATTCGAAAGTTGAGGTACAAAACATCCATGCCGTTCTTAGGCAAGAATTTATGTCCTTGTAACAGTGTGTGGCCAGTATAAAGCAAAGTGATCATGCATGTGGAAAATCAGCTCCTGGCACAGGACAGTATTTTTGTCTTCTCTTCTGAAAGACTGGATTTGCACAAGTGATGTTTGTGTTCCAATGCAGGCACAACTGATAAGAAATTTAGGGTACTTTTTTTCAACTAACCCTGTAACTCACCCTAGTTACAATAGAAATGGTAGAGAAGAGCTGCTTCTAGTGTGATCAACAGCGTGCTAGTTGTGCTAGTTGTGAAGTGTGTGATAAACTTGTGTGATTTCCCGGAACAGGATAAAAAAATCTGAGATTAACTGATAGATCACTCCCTGTCTGGATTTATGTGTCATCTTTCTAAAGAGATTGACTTACCCTGGAAGCATGGAGTAAGATGGAAAAAGACTCTTGGAAAATGGAGAAAGACTTATGCACCTTCATGCCAAACTGACAACCCAGAGTTGCAACACCAGTGAAGCAGCAAGATTCCTTATGATAACAGAGAGCTGTAGTCAGATGATATAATCCTGTATGGTGAGCCCCTTCCTCTTTCCTTTCCGTCCAATGTCTCTAAGATACCCTGATGTGTCTAAAATTTCAGAATTTTAGTACACGAACACTTGTATCTCTAACAAAAGTTTTTCTTCGACATGCCTCATTACACAACTAGGGCTGCACAAATAAACGATTTTTCACTTCAGTGAGAGAATTGAAAAACTAGGGAGAAAAATTCTTCCAGGCCGTTATGAAAAAATTTTTTGTTGCTTAGATAAAGCATAACAGTCTCTTTCAGGTATAACAAAACATTTCATTCTCCACTTCTTGAAACATCCTATCTCACCTTTGAATCACATTTACTCTATTTTGAATTAAAACAAACACAGCTGTAAACTGAACTGTATCTCAGAAATAAAATATTGAACCATTTTGCTAGGAAAATGTCAAAATGAAATATTTCAACTTTTCTTTATATCTCCTCATTTTAAAGTCAATTGTATTTACAGAAGTTGGCACAGCTTCAGAAGTATTTGCCTCAAAGCTTCATTTTTCAGCAGTATATTTTACATTAGTGCTTTTTCTTTGCTCTTTACAACTTCCTTTCTCCAGACATTGCACATTCTTCTGCTTTTCCTTATTGCTTAGATTTTTTCTTAATTGTACTATTGGTTTTTCAAAAGCTTTTTAAAACTCCTGATATTTGATAAAAATTATAAAAACTAATTCTTTCCTGATATTTTTTCGCTACTGTTACTATTACTCTTGCTCCTAAACTCATATTCATTTCCTGCATCCTGTTTTTTTTTAACGCTTTGACTGGTTTCCTATTTTCTCCTCTCTCGATCTATCCCACTTTCTCTCTTGGCTTTACTCTTCATTTTTACAGCTTTTCCTCTAAGAACTCCACTGCAGCAGATTCAGGTCTCAACATTGCTCTCCTTCATAAACATAGACATGACTCAGCCTTTCTATGTTTTGGTTCCTGATCAATAAAATGAGGACTGTAGTGTTGCCCTAGCGCCAGGGTTGTTTCCAGAGAAATCAAGATTATTGATTATTGAAAGCCTGTACAATGGAGTTGACACATACATCTGGGTCATGTCTCATGCACCACCCAAGCCCTGAGGATTTGCCTGTAGTGCTATTGTACTATATATACCTTTGTACTATTAGCTCCTGTGCTGTAGATATTTAAGGTGTATTTAAGAATTTATACTGCCTTCTCTCCAAAACAAAACTCAACTCAAATTAATTTTTTCATCATAATTGTACATAAAACCAGGCCAAATCCTGTGGTGCTTGCTGGCTTCTTTCACTAGCAAAACTCTGATGAATAGCAATAGGGAGAAGGATAAAACAAAGATCTGACTTGGATTTCACACACAGAGAATAAACTACAATGCGAATACACTCA